CTAAGCCATAGGTGTATCCAGTATGGTATGGTGTATCCAGGATAGAGTCATAGGTATGGCTCTATGCTAGGTATGATGTCTAAGCCATAGGTGTATCCTGTTTGTATCAATATACGTATACCCTCATCTTCAACTACTAAATGTAAACTCCGGTGCGAATGCGTACTAAGTTTAACCAGGGTAAGTAGCGTACCTATTTCGCAACTAAGTTTACTCGAGGTGATTGAGATGATTGCATTACGTAGTTGTTGGTTTTTGAACGTAGTTGTGAACTCCTAGAGTATACTCCGTATCTTCTCAGATCCTAGGGTTACCAACGTAGTTGGAAGCTCTGGGTATATATATATATATTATCCATGAGGTCAAGACGTTGGGGAGAGAAGGACGGACGCCCTCTTCCACGTCATGTTCCCATGCGGTGAAAAACACCGTCAGGAGACTTTTGCAAAGACCTCTTGGTGCTTGTCCTGGCGGTCCCCACGGTCCTCGCCTTCCTCGCTTGGCAAGTCTACACCGAGCTGATCTTCATGCACTCCGGTGGGGGCGGGTGGCATGGAAAAACCGAAAACACTGTGTCGGGGCATGCCTCAGCGAACATCTTTCATGTGCACCAAACTAATCAAAATTATACAGTGGTTTCGGAGGTTCGATGGCACAATCCCCGAAAGGTGATTTATGTGGATCCCCATCTTAAAGGACATCTTGGGGTCTCTACCATCTACTCTGAAACCACCGTAGTAAATATCACTTGCTTGAAACAGGTCGTTGGACCACACAAATGGCCATGCCTCCCAAACAAATTCCTTTTTTTGGCCCGTTGAGCCCGCCGACCAGTGAACCCCTATTCACAAGAATGCCACAGATCCTGCAACCATTACTCTCTCTCCCCCTCCCTCCCTTCCTCCCCCGCTCCCTTGTGCTCTCTTTGTCTCTCTTTGTCCCTCTCCCTCACTTTCCCTATCCTTCTCCTTCTTTCTCATAGTTATTATTCCAAAGGTTGTTGTTAGAGACTAAAGGATTCCTCTTTGCTACTCCGCTGTCCCACCGATACGGGCAAGGGATGTTGCTGTTCTGAGCAGAACGGAGGAGGGAAACCGAAGAGGACACAGGATGTTGCTGCCTGTCTACCTTGCCTTGCTGCTATGTTCAAGATGCAAGGCATGTTGTGGATTTTTATCTTGACCGCTACCACAAACCACCTTTCAATGGAAGAGCAACACTGCTATGTTTCATTCATTGCTAAGTTCATTTCCCAAAGAGAAAAGCCTTACTTGGGCAGGGCCCTTGCGCTTGACTACAAACCATTATGCCCATTTGCCTGCTTTAATTCATTGCCTTGCCTTTTTAAGGACCAGACATGTTACCGCTCTGCCTTCTGACACAAAAGCACGATGGATATTAATCTTTATCCTGAATAGCCCTGTTTCCTTGGGAATTGGGATTGCAGAAAGTGCTGCTCTTCCTAAGGTATCTTTGATTGAAGAGGATGGGTGCGACTGCACTATTTCTTTCCCTGGAAAGACTTAACAGGAATTAAGATGAAGAAAATGAGCAGGCCTGTTCCTACCTTTGCGCCTTACTACTTACTACTCTCCGTGTGTTAAGAAGAAAAGAAGTGATATTATGCCTTGTCCTGCTTACTATCCTCTCTTTTACAAGAAGGCAATGGTGCTACTACTCTCTTCTTGCCACAAGGAGGCTACTGCATTTTATCTTCAGTATGGCACTCCTCCTTCTCATGCTGTTCTTCCTTCCAGCAGAATATAGAGAAAGGTCTTAGTCCGCTCCTCCATCTTCCCAATTGCGCATTATTGCGCTTTCATATGTCGGATCTTTTTGCTTTTTGCTACAAAAAGCAGCACTAAACTCCTCATCCAGTCGCCCGCCCTTCATAGGAATAATTGCAACACGCACTCTTACTTACCGCTCGTTTCGAAACTGCTCCCTCTGGCAGAAGAGGCCACTAAATTTTGCTACCAGAAACTTACCTCTTCTTCCTTTCTACGATCCATCGTTAAAGACAGTGGGTATGGAGTGGTATTACTTTGCTTCCATACTAGCCACACGTCTTGATGAGGACGAGGCACCTCTTTTTGAACAAACCCCTCCTGTAAAGAAGCGACCAGGATGTTATTACGCCACTGCCCTTGGTGAAAACGAGGCAAAGGATGTCACTTCGTCCTTCTATATCCTCTATATCCCTTTCGGGGACAACCAGGGCCCAGTGAAGACTCTGGTGGGTCCTTTTTCAAGAACGACCTCTTTGAACGACCACGACCAACCCTATCAACACACCGTCAAAACAATCCTATTCAAAAACGGGGGTCGAATGGGTTGTGCAGGTCTATCTAACTGCTTCATTCCGGTCTCATGGTTGACTGCCTCGATGGCGACTGCCTCAGAGACACTTCTCAGTATCTTTCATCCAGTTCCTTTGCACTGAGAGCTATCCTTTCAGCAAGACCTCTATAGCCCCCACCTCACTTAATCGTTTTAATTCATTCCCCATGATTCTTATGGGATGCCACACCTCCCAAAATCGTTGTTGATTCCATCTCTCCCCCCCAAAAAAAAGACACCTTCAAGCACAGGAAAGCTCCCCTCGGGTTTGGAGCGCATGGAGAAAAAACCACCTTCTCGCGGGAAGGCCATGAAACCTGGGGCGGTCTGCTCTTCGCCGCGGCCGCCTTGATCACCTTCGTGGCCGCACGGAAGGTTCGTTCACCGCGTCGGTGCGGGGACGGGGACGGGGCGGCCGAACGTTCGGCGCGGGCGCCGCCTGGTCGGCGCGAAGAGAGGGTGTGTGTTTTAGTAGGGGGACCCTCTCAGCTCATGGGTAGACATGGTCTATAGTCCCTGGTGAAAAGGGGATCGGGATGCCTGGTCTCCAGATTTGATCGCAAATCTGAAAGATAAGCTGGTTCCTTTGCCTATAGGAGTTGCCCCTGTCACACCTGTGGAAGACTTTCCTCTCACTCCAAACACTTCGGGTTGGAAGGTCTACCATCTGGGGAATCGACGCTTCGAAGATCTCGCCCTCGCAGCTCAACCAGCAGCTCGGCTTGGCGGGGTCAAGTCGTTTTGTTGGCTCGATTTTTCCCTCGCTTGGTCCTGAATAGACCGGAAGAGGGTCTCAAGTGTTCTTGGAGGTCCTGAATCTGAATCTCTTTGAGGTCCATATTGACTTCGGAAAAGACCGTGTTTTCCGTTCAACTCCTCAGGAGACGACAGCAGACCTCGCAGACGAGAACGGAACCGGCGAGTCGGCGCTTCCACCGGTGGAGCACGTGGCGGTGTAGCCGAGCGCCGAGTGCGCGCGCGCCGTGCTGCGATGTGTGGAGCACGTGTTAAGAACCGAAGAAGAACATCAAAACAACGATAACCAGCTGTCAATGTGTGTGTCGTTCAATCTACATGTCAAAATGTTTGAACATTCTAACTATAAGATTAAAAAAAAAACATCGAACACAAGTCTGAGCGCAAGTGATAGGAACCTCCGAGCGCCAGCGACGGCGCGTCGCTCGTCCAGCGACGGGCTGTGGGGAGCGCCGTTTGGAAGGCGGCCACCTCGAGGTGTGACCCGTTTGGCTCCAGGGTTTGACCTCCCAAAAACACCGCAGCAGGCATTCGCAGGGCAACCCAAAACGAGTTTGCGAGCACAGGAACCCCAGAACTACACCAAGAACTACCCGAACTACTCGAGGGCCCTGCGAAACACCAGCCGTTGCCGGCCTGGATTCCGGAAATCCCGTTAGCTGCACCGCGTGAGCCACGTATAGCTTGCTGTAGGAGTCGGTTTTTCCCGGTCAGTTGCCACGATTCGGGTCACTAGACCTCTGAGCGATCCGACGATATTCTTTCATGAAGAAGTGAAGGGGCAGCTTCTTCAGTTCGTGACCGAACTTGAAGGTGACCCTACTCGTGACCCTACTCGGCTTCAGTGACCGAACCAACCAGGTTATCAAGGTGCAGTCACTTTGAAGAACCTGGGGGCTGGAATTTGGTTTGTGGAGGGCCTGGAAGCCAAGCTGTTTGGTTTCTGTCCGCGGGTACAGGCGCGAAACGCTCGGCTCGAGGGCCTTGAGGCCTGCAGGGTGGCCCTGGAAGAAGGCGGATGTGAGGCCCAAAGGCTGAATCATCTCCCGTGTTCGGGGAGTTATGAAGTCATGAGGTTTTTCAGCCAATCCTTGGGCCGAGCATCAGTGCAAAAAAAAGACAGGGGCCACCCTGCATCAAACATCCATAAGCATCCCAAATTGCCCAACTGTTCTTCGACTCCCAAATTTTTCGGCAGCGAACCAACATGGGGGAAGGAAGGAAATTCTACATCACAACGTATATTTCCCAATGGAACTGATCTTGTTTGGGAGACGGGTTTAGGTGGATGCTTGATTTTCTCAGCTGTTTCACAGGCTGGAGCAATTGGTAGACCTTCTGGCTGAGCCATGTTTGTCGGACTGCAGTGTTGCAGGCATGTACACGGAAGACGTTGCACTGTCCGAGACGAAAAGGGACGAAAGTCTTCAGACGGCAGGGTTTGCACGCCAGCGCTTTTTAAGAGAGAAACCGTCCAAAACGAGGGTTTTGGAGGTTTGAAAGGTATCACCAAGGGAGAATCTCGTGATATCTCATACTGCTAGACTAGATCCATCCATCATCATCCATCAGATAAAATGGAATTCTATCTTGAACTCCTCTGCCTGTGCCCAGCTGAAACTGGCTTCGCCACTTGTGAGTGTCGTCGCCATGTCGAGCGAGGACGCCAGAGTCTCAGAGTGGTTTGCTTTTTTTCGTTGGTTTTCAGGGAAGACCTTCGGTCAATTCCCGCCGCCAGTGGGTACAGGTAGCAAGCCTCCAAAAAAGAGGATCCACCTGTGATTCACCTGTCCCTTGGCTTTGGAAAAGGGGGGGGTCGGTCACCCCACTCGCGCGGCTTTCCGCGGAACCCGCGGAACACGGCGGAACCCGCGGAACACGAGCGCCGGGCGAAGCCGCGCCAGGCACTTGGGCCTCTCGCACGCCGTCTTGGGGGCCGAGGGCTTGACGAACCTGGCGAAGTGCATGGTGGTGAATCAGGCGGGAGGGCCCTCCATGGGAGCGAAGGGCCTGACTGGGGGGGAGCTTCGAACTGCTGCGGAAAGCCCCCACAAGAGAGTCCGATCCTGCTGGGCCTTTTCAGCTGTGCCAAAGCCTCCTGCCGAACTGGGACTGGTGGGACGGGCGAACTGGGCTGCATAGTTGGAAGATCTAGGTATGACTGGAGTACTCAGGATGCTGGAGCTGCCTGCTGGAGATTGGTAGGCAAAAAGATGGTGGGTGGCCCACTTCCAGTGGGAGCAGAGCTTTGTCAAAGGGAGCGCTTTGTAACGGGGGGGGCCAGATGCGACACTGAAGCCACCGAAGCCAGGTGTCTGTTCGAAACTTGGAAAGTGTATAGTCCATGGCAAGTTACATACCAGGACCCTCCAAGGGGTGCCCAAAGGTAGTGTGGGGTAGTCCATGGGACACCCCGACAGGAGGGTCCTGGTATAGAGACTTCTTAGCGAAATTCCGTTCTTGGACGAACGGACGGACTCGCGTCGTCAGCAGTTGTGAGATACATCGAGTCAGATGGATGTTCGGCAGGTCCCGAGGATCTGTTTATGGCCGAGATGTTCACGACAAGACAAGATGACAAGAGCTCCACGAGGTTTCGGTGGCTAGGGCTCCCCAAATGCAGTGGTTGAACAAAAAGAAACAGAACGATACCCAATGGGTGTCCTGTCTGAAGATCCTTTAGGGGCAGACAGGATGGTCTTGGTTTGTAGTTCACAGCCAGAAATTGAACCATGCAGCTGCATCTGCCTAGAGAATAGAACTACGTAGAATAGACTGAATGAGGAGACGACCCAAACTGGTCAGGGTCGCCAAACATGCCTTGGACCAGATCAATGCATTTTCCCTCCCTCCAAAGCTGAAAAAAGAAACAGCAAACGGATCTTCCTCAAACTAGAGAGTCACCAGCTCCTCTTCCCCACCTGCTAGGCGAGGGTCTTTAGATGTTAAACGTGTTGCTCCATCCACCTCCACCCCTAGTACCATCCATCCGCCTTCCGTCCTTCCTGCCGGACGGTCCTCCTTTTTTTCCTGCCGTCTAAATCGCTCAGGGTGGGCGATCACTCGTTGTCTCACGTGTTTTCTTTCATCCCCCCGGAGACTTCGTCTCCAACCGGTCGCCGCCTACCGCTTCTCCCGCGTGAAGCGCGTTGGAAAACGGCTCCGCGTATACGCGTGGACAACCCCCAACCCGCCGTTTGCGGGGTCTGATGGAGGCGCTGCGGAGCCTCAACTTGTCCGGGAATCTCATGGACGAAGCGGTCGCTGCCGCCTGGGGCGTCGCCATAGGCCTGGCCTTGGGGGGTTCGGTTCGGCGAAGTGGTGGTGTTCCGTTCAGAGCTTCGGATGTGGTTGGTTTCCGGAAGGGTCTGATTTGGTGAGGTGTCATTTTGGATGGCAGCTTGGTGTTGTATTTCTATATGTTTCGAGCTTTCAGACTATGTTATACGTCTTTTTTCGTTGAGTTGGGTGTATGGTTTGATGGTTTCGTTGATTGAAATAACTTTCCTCCCCTCTTCTTTTCCAGATCCCGCAAGCCGATGGAGCGAGTAGAGAGTGACCAGCTAGCTTTGGGGGGGGGTTGCCAGGTCTGGCACTGATGAGAAGAGTCAGCTATTGAATCTTGAGAAGTCCTCACTAGATGAAGATGCTCAAGACATGTTGAACGAGGCGTGTTTCTTCATCCGCTCAAAAAAACGAACGACTCTTTATGGCGAATCATGAAAGATTGCGTTGATCCATGAGTTCCTGCATGTTCCCGCGTTCCCGCGCACTCGATGGCACGGGAAGTGTCCAGACTCCAATATAAGGGTGTGTACCAAATAGAGATATTCCGCACTCATGACTCACGGGTGTGCATCTCTATCATGTACTAAATTTGCATAGAGATGATGAGAGATGGACCAAACCCAAACTTGACCGTCTTGCGCAGTACTACTCTTAAGACCTTTGTCCATCTTTGTCTCTTTATTTGGTTTACCCAGACGCTCATGGCTCATATGGAGGGGTCAGGGGTCTCAAATCCCTACTTTTTGAGGGGACCAGTCGGACTGTGAACGGAGCGTTTGGGTCGATTTTTGGTCTCCAAAGGTTCTTTCGTGCAGGGATCAAAGCACAGCTCCGGCCATGGGGTTCCTCGGTTCGGCGTCCACACCGAACCGTGACTCCGCCGGTCGGTGCCGAACCACCGAACCACCTTCGATCGGCAGGCTGCAACAAGTCGCTCCGGCATTTGGTGCTCTGCGCCTGTCATATCACCGACGCCCGGTTTGTCCAAGAGAGTGTGTTTTTTAAGACGTGGTACCTAGTGGTACCTATGGGCTAGGCTGTAGAGTCAGAGCTTTTCAACCTCTCTAGGTCTGGTAAGACGTGGGTCCTGTGTTCAAAGTCTTTTCCTGCAAAGGGACGGGTGAACGTTTGCAGCTAAGAGGCAGGGTGAACGAATGCAGGGTGGTCGGCAGTGATTGAAGAAGCGGAGAAGTGGCAACAACATCAGTTTGCACCGTCCTTCTACCAAGCTCACGGATGGTCTATTCTCATGAATGCATAGAAAGCCGCTGAACGCAGCATTCCAAAGAAAGTGCCTGAATAGTGGAATAGAAACCTGATGCCTACCATTGTTGAGATTGTATTGGCTCGGCATTCAGAATGTTGCATGGACTTTGGCATTGAATCCGGCGTTTTCCTAGCGATGTTGGACATAGGTGACCTGGTTCTTCAGTTCGTGACCGTCCTTGATCATCTGGTTTGAGGTCACTTACAGGCCTGTAACAGGGACTCCAAACAGGGACTCCAAAAAGGTCACGAACTGAAGAAGCTGGGATATAATGGGCGCCCGTGTTTCTTCAGTGAGACGTCATATTTGCCCCTAACTAAGAAGCGAGCAGAACGCCCATGCCCAGCTGAGTCAACACGAATGGATGAGATATGATACCGACTCAAAACGCCCCAAGCGCTCTGCCCAAAGAATCTCTACCAATCCCAAGAACTACTAGTAGCCAGAAGCTACGACCGGTTGGAGGCCATCGCTAGTAGGTTGGAAGCCATTACTACTTGGGCTTTTCGCCTTCCAATGCCTACAGGGCGCCCTGTGTGGGCGCCTCGTCCGCCTCGGGCGCCTGCCGTCGTCCGCTCAGGACGCCTCCGGACTCCTGTTAGCACGCGGCCTCGCGCAGAACGAAGGCGACGGGGCTCAGCCCGGGTGATGCCCATCATGACCAGAGACGGGGAGAGAGACGTCTCATCGATGAGACGGGTGAAACGAACGTATATAACACATGTGGAACCAGTCTGAGAGAGATGATGTACATACTAAGCTTGATCTTCTTAGGCTTTTGACACGAGCTTCTCACTCATTCGGGTGGGTGTGTGTGTGTGTGTCCACCCCTGGACAAAGGGTTTCGTCCAACTGATCCACT